CTGTCAAAGAGCTGAGGAGATGAAGAGAGTCCTGGGTAAACAAAGATCACTGTAAGGAGCGACACAAGCCCCACAACCTTCCACCACGACTCACACCGACAGACTGACCCACACTACCGCCTCACACACGCCCACAGTTGCCACTCGCCATTAACCCCATATTTATCACACCGCTTAAATAACACTTCCCGTTAATTTTGCCATGTTTTATGCGTATCATAAGGATGGCACTAGCGAAACTATGCATTAATACAGAAGCGTAACGAAGATTTTCTTTAATAAACAGATATTACAAAAGTTTGGAACAGCTGGACTTGGTAGTTGGTCTGGCCGCCGCCAGAGGTCTCCCCCGTACAAGCTGGGCGGGTAAGTCGACAGGAATGTTTAACATAGTACTACATTATATATATATACTCTTCCCAGTACTGCCCTCAACGTCGTCTTGGTACACCCAACACTGCGCAAACACAACAGTGGAGATATAAACGGAAACAAATTATTACTAGACGTGAATAAATTGATTTTTGGAGGGTGAGTCAGCCAACGTGTTGGACGGGGGGAGGGGGGGAGGTTCCCAGTATTTCCAGTGACTCACCATTATAATTTGTCTCAAACTATTCATTCTGTGTAGTTGTGAATATAGAAATGCCTAGGGGCGCTTTCATGATCTTTCACGCAGTATCTGAGCTTCTATAATGATGTGTGTGTGTCCGTTTTGAACACGAAAGCACCGAGGCATTTGCTCTCTCATATATATTATATATTATTATATATGCCAAAAGGATGAGATCAATTATTTTTGCACGAATCTTTTCTATTTTCTTGCGTTTTTTTTTCTCCATTTGAGGAGGAAAGTGGAAAAGTTCTCTCAAAAAAATTATTTTTTTTAGAGTTTATTACGGCCTAGGGATGATACGAAATGCGTTTCGTCAATTCTGTCAACATTTTCAAAGGCAGTCACAAATACATACAATTTGGTTGGAGCAGCAGAATTTATTATATATATATATATATATATATATATATATATATATATATCGTACCTAGTAGCCAGAATGCACTTCTCAGCCTACTAGGCAAGGCCCGATTTGCCTAATAAGCCAAGTTTTCATGAATTAATGTTTTTTCGACTACCTAACCTACCTAACCTAACCTATCCTAACTTTTTCGGCTATCTAACCTAACCTAACCTATAAAGATAGGTTAGGTTAGGTAGGGTTGGTTAGGTTCAGTCATATATCTACGTTAATTTTAACTCCAATAAAAAAAAATTGACCTCATACATAATGAAATGGGTAGCTTTATCATTTCATAAGAAAAAAAATTGTGAAAATATATTAATTCAGGAAAACTTGGCTTATTAGGCAAATCGGGCCTTGCATAGTAAGCTGAGAAGTGCGTTCTGGCTACTAGGTACGACATATATATATATATATATATATATATATATATATATATATATATATATATATATATATATATATATATATATATATATATATATATATATATAATTACACTCCGCTATCTGGAAGATGGCGGAGGGTAGCCTAGGGCGCCTGACTGCTGAATGAACAGCGCTTCAGATTCGTAGTCCTGAGGTTCCGGGTTCGATCCCCGGTGGAGGCGGAGACAAATGGGCAAAAAGTTTCTTTCACCCTGATGCCCCCTGTTACCTAGCAGTAAATAGGTACTTGGGAGTTAGCTGCTCCTGGGGTTGTGTAACAAAAAGGAGGCCTGGTCGAGGATCGGTCCCATTGTAATTCCCATAGAGTTTTTAGGTGATCTTAATGCTATATTTTCTGAGAGATACGTGCAGTTGTTTCAGTGCTTCTTGGTAATTTTTCCGAGAGAAGGGGGAGAGGGGAGGGAGGGACGAAGGGGGGACCAAGGGCGTCAAGTGGGAAATGGGGGGGAAAGTGGGAAATATGGGGGGGGGGATGAAGAGACCCGGGTGCAGCCGGGTCTCTGCAGCCTTTTATAACTTATATACGAAGGAAATGTCTGTTCGAGGTTGGAGGGAAGAGGTGAAGAGGTGGAGGTTATCTTGAGGTGCTTCCGGGGCTTAGCGTCCCCGCGGCCCTGTCGTCAACCAGGCCTCCTGGTTGCTGGACTGGTCAACCAGGCTGTTGGACTGCTCGCAGCCTGACGTATGAACCACACGTCCAGTCAACAGACCAATCACAGCTCAAGTAGCTTCGACAAAATATATTTTGAAATTCTCATTCTTGGCTATGAAGAAGAGGGAAGAGAAATGAAGAGGCACAGTGCAGACTTGGATTCAGAGAGCAAGTCGTCACGATGTCTGACAGACCACAGGAGCTGGCGCTCGTTCGAAGCTCGGCATGCACCGATATTCCTCTCTCTTTATAGCCTCCTGGAAGCCTATGCCCGACAACTAGCTCCGAGCGCTCAGTGTTTGCTCAGGTCATGCATGCGTAGCCTTAAGGGAAAAATATGTATGAACAAATATTGGTATGGGGAAAGTATGCGTGAAAAAATATATTGGAAAATATGCATGTGGTAATATATATGCTTGAGGAAATATGTGAAAGGGGAAGTATGCATGTGGGAAAATAAACACGAGAGAAAAAAAGGAAAATAAAACAAAATCCCCGCTGGTGTAATTGTCATGATGCCTCATAACAGCCAGGATAACAGCCAGGATAACAGGCAAGGCGCCGGGATAGCGGTTTATAGTCTTTGCCGAGACTAAACACATCAGGCACTGGGTCAGTGATATCCAGGCGCTGGGTATCCTATCCCGGCTCTGGGTATGCTATCCCGGAGCTGGGTATGCTATCCCGGAGCTGGGTATGCTATCCCGGTACCGGGTATGCTATCCCGGCGCTGGGTATGCTATCCCGCTGTGTTTTCGCTCAGGGCTTCAGGGACAGAGGGTAAAGTGACAGGCAGAGGGGTCAGACGGGCAGCTGTGACAGCTGGATTACGAGAAAATGGAAATCATTCTGTTGACTATGGGCATGATGGACTGGGCGCTTTACCCACGAGACGCTCTGCTTTTTTTGTGAAGGATTTAGTAATATTCACTGTGTAAAGGAGGCGATAGGCTTGTGGTACATAAAAATCCGTCTGAATTACATAGATTTATGTAATCGCGGCTATAGATTTTTACAGGAAAATCTAATTTTTATTACTGAAAGTTTTGAATGACGAAGCAGGGAAATTCTCACTTGTTTTAGCCTTAACAACACTATGTTTTGTCTCAAAACAGTTTTGCAAGTATCTTTGGTGAGGAATTTGCATTTTAAATATGCGGTATGGAGCCTAATTCATTTACATAGAAATATTCAAAACAAAATTGTTAGGATGTACACGGGGACAAGTTCTTTGACGCGGGTCAAGGGAAACTGGAATGTTTGACTGGAAGAAAAACTGTATTTCTGTAAGATGATGATAAAAGCTATTTCACCAGCCTGTCGCAAATACTCCAGAGAGAAGTCATTTAAGGAGATTATGAAGGGATCTCTAGCGTGGGCATGCTGGCTAAGGTCTGGGGCAGCTGCCTAGGTGTTGTGTCGTGGGGAGTCTATCGGAGCTTAGCCCGAGAGGAAAGTATTCTATTTTGTGTCGCGGATGATGTAGTGAATGAGATATCTTAGTGATGTTTCATTAATTATATTAACCTCACGTTGCTATTACACACACCTTATCCAGACTAACTGGTACATCCCGACACTATCGAAGGGGATAACGGGACATTGATGCATGTACTGTACGTGTAATAATGAAAATTATGTACATAATTAATCATTAGTATTTATACTAATAGTAGTAATAGTAGAGTGGTATTACAGGTAGCAGCAACAGTTGTGGTATCAGTCGTAGCAGATCCCAAAAATATTAACAGTAGAAGTATCATTTAACAAATTAACAAAACGATTACACAAACAATTTTGTATAAAAAAAATCACTGCAGTAATATTAATTAAATAACAGTCATAAAACAAAAGTCATAATAATAAAAGCCACCAACATAAAAATCACCCCCCCCCCCCACAAACACACACCTTCACCCCACACACACACACACACACAAACACACCCACCCCACCCACACACGCACACCCACCCCACCCACACACAAACACACACACCCACCCCACTTACACACACACCCACCCCACCCACACACAAACACACACCCCACACAAACACACACACCCACCCACACACACAAACACACCCCACCCCCACACACACACCCACACAGACACCCTCCCCCTCCCACACAAACCCACCCCACCCACACACAAACACACACCCCACACACACACACACACACATACGCACACCCACCCACACAGGCACCCTCCCCTTCCCACAAACACACACACACCACAAGCACACTGCAGCCATTGCTCCAACACACCCCGCGGCCTCAATATCAATTCACCTCACCACGGAGTCGTAAATCACGCTTCTTCGTCACGGAACGTCGGTGGCCGGTGTGCAAAAATGGTGCTCCGATACATCCAATGTTAACCATTTGAATAATAAGTTTTCCTTGGGCATATTCCGGTATTCTTTCCCTCGCTGCCTGTGTGAAATTCCGGTGATATATTTTATCATATTTTCAATTTGCTGCAGGAGCATTATATAAACATACGGGAAGAATATGCTGCTGTGTGATTTGCTTGCTCAAATACTCCTAAATATTTTATATAATGTGCCCAATAGCCAGAACTGCGCTTCTTGGCCTAATATGCAAGGTCCGATTTGCCTAACAGGTAGAATGATTTTCCTTATTTTCAAACATTTCTTTCCAGATTAGTTATTTTCTAACAATAATCATCTATTAGGAACATGAATTACTGACAGGTATATTAGGTTATATTAGATTATGTTAGGTTTGGATAGGTTAGGTAGATTAGGCTTGATCAAATTTATTTGTAAATTTTGACTATACATAAAATTTCAATCACATAATACAATACAAAAATTGTATCATTTTATAAAAAAAATCACGAAAATTCGGCTTTTTATGCCATTCTGGTTATAAGGTACGACATTTAATATTATTAGATTTTATATATCAAATGATTAATCTGAATGGACGCTAAGCTGTCTTGCTTAAATACTTGATAATTCC